CTTGACAGCAAGAAAATTTTATCAAGATTTTCTAGGAGCAAAATAATAATGCAGTTATTTACATTTGTGACCACTAAGTGGGTTATTTTCTTGCTTCTCTGATCCAACTATTTAAGTTGTCTGCAGATCTTCATGGAAAGGAAGCGAAGTCTCCAAAAAGGGTCACTCCTGGGCCTTACAGAGTGAACAGATTTCCCCCATGATTCACATGGCCTCCATCACAGGACTACAGGAGCTTCTTTTGGAACACAATTATTTTTCTTTTAGAACAACAGTTCATTTCCTTGTCCATTTTATCATGGTCTTTCATGTGGATTTCCTAGAAATGAATAGGCTCAGATTCTCCATTCCCTTCCAGCCACCATTCCTCTGCCACCAGCTCATGAGAAGCTATCTTTGTGTTGCCATGAAATAACTCCTGGGTATCCAAACTAACTCATTTCAGGCTAGTCTGGGAATCTTTCACTATTCTGAGTCCTACAAAGTGTCATGTTCAACGGGGGGGACAGATTTTCCCAAGTATAAAAGTGCATTTATGCAATCACTGAACAAAAAGGAATTTAAACTGTATCAGAACATCTTCTATACCTAAGCAGACACAAGTTTATCTAGAGCATTTTTCTGCTCTTAAAATCTTCAGAAAGCATTCCACAAACATTCAGCTTCGTGGTTTTGTGTGTGCAATCCTGCCCCAAGTATTATACTTCAGACATGCTATTGCCAGTCTACTAATGACTATGTTGACCAGTACTGGGCTCAGGACCCATCCTTGCAGAGCCAGCAGTGAACTATTCACAGCTTGTCTTTTGGTATGGCTCTTTAACAAGTTATTCAGATCGCCTTAGAGTACTCTTAACTAGAACTGATTTTCCCACTTTGCCTATGGGAATGCCATGGAGGACAGTGCTCATTAAGGCCCAGCCATATCAGAGTTACTGCTTCTGCTTGTAAGCACTTGCTCGACCAGGTTTTGCATGCACACAGTGACATGGGTTACAACGAAGATCATATGGCCTTTTAAGAAACTGGCGTCAAGTGGGGATGACTGTAGGGAAGGTAAAAATAACATTTGATTTTCATAGGAATAGATATTTCATTAATGAATGTTTTGGGAGCCTAAAGATAGTACCAATGCATAACAAATGACATGTTTTATGAAACTCAAATTTCAGCTAGCAACATATTGCAAATCTTTGCTGGCCTACCAAGTAGCTGAGATGTTCCAGAAACGCAAAACAGGCCTCTGTAGTACAGAATTAGCATTCAGAGAAAGGGATTTGTTTGTTCACAGACTTCCAGCAGATTTGCAGATTTACATACCTCTCACACTATAGAGCTGCAGGCAATTCTATACCTCACTTTTTCTGAACCATGAATTTTATGGAATCTTTCTGCTTTCTCCAGAAAAAAATATGCAAAGACAAGTGGAAGATTTTCACCCTTTGCCAGGTCAAAACTATGGTGTCATCCTTCTTTCTGCAGGTATGACATCAGCTTTTAGAGCACAAGCAAAGACTGCAGAATGACAGGATGAGGAAAACTGAAGGATGTCATAAGAAGACCCAAATTAAAAGGTCATTAATTCTACGTTATAGGCCTGAAAGTTCTTGTTTCCTTTGTCTTTCACTTTCCTTCACATAGGCACCGACTCTAGATTTGTACTTGCAGAAAAACTTCCAGTTGAAGGCATCAGTAATACCAGAACCAGAACCAAAAGGAGGACTACTTTAAAATCTTACGCATAGGGTGCTAATGTCCCAAGGGAAAGATTTCCTGAAGTCTAAGTGGCCTAAGACACACCACTTTCTTTCACTAGGGACTGATAATAGAACAATGCTTCCCATCGTTGCTTTTGATTTCCCAGCTGTCCACTGTCACTGGGGACTGCATACAACAGGCTGGAGCAGCACTCAGATCCACCTCTCCCAAAGAGAATTAAAACACTCCGCCAGCTCTGCCACTGCAGTGTTCATCTGAACCTCCCCTGCCTAACGTGTGTGCATTCAAAGCCATTCTTCAAGACCTCTCATCCAAAGTCCTACAGCACACAAACTTGCCAGACAGTAGGGGCAGACAGAAAAATGCCCAAGGAGTTCAAAGTATAACACACTGAATGTATAAGAAGCAGACTGCATCAGGGGAAGGAATGGAAGGTGTCAGGGAAAAAAGCCCCCAAAAAGGTTGGCTGTGAAGAATTGGAATCACAAGAACCAACCCACACAGCTAAACCCTGAGTTACTACCAGTGGAGAAGAAAAAGCAAATGAAACTATACAGAAGTGAGAATGCGATACAGCAATTCCTGGGAAGAACAGAGCTCCTAACAGAATTAGGAGAAAAGAACAAAACACAATTTAATGTGACTGTGGACAGAGAAAAGATGAGAAAACATCTTTTTCTTGTGCTTCCAAACTGCTTAGTCCTTCTCTACTTCAACACACTTACAAGAGATTTCCACAGTCTACTGCATCTGAGATTCCAGCTCTCTAACATGTTTCCTTTTTGGTCATTCTTAGGGGAGATGGGAAAGGCCACTTTCATCACTACCACTGCACTTTTCCACAGTGTTCAGGCACGGAACACACACTCTCTAACATTCTTTCAGCACAGTGTACGTTGTCTGCTGGTAATAACAAATATGTTGCTATCTTATTTATGACATTGAGTATTTTTTGCTATCTTATTTATGAAAATGAGTATTGACTGACACAACATCTTTTATACATAACAGCGGCAATCTTATGTCCCCATAAGACAAAACAGATGCTATGCCATACACTGAAATTATACAGACACCAGCAAATGGACTAAGCAAGTTCAAATGGCCATTACTGATACAGGGGTCCTCAGTCTTGGTATGGCTTACACCACCATGTCATCTTCAAGACCTTCCTACCAAAGCCTTTCTGTAGCCACAGAGATAAAAAGTTGATGATGATAAATTTGTTGGAAGTTGATAAATAGATGATGCCATGGCTACAAACCAGACAGCAGAGCAAGCGATGTGTGATGTTGCTCACTGGGTTTTTTTTTCTCTGTAAAGTTACGTGGGACACAACAGACTGACTAAATTCTGAAAGAGAATTGGTGGCACAGGGGTTCGCTGCCACTTGGGGATCCAAGTTCAAGTTGCACTCTGGATCATTATGTAGCCTGAGGTGCTGTTCTGAATTCTGCAGCATGAAGTCACAAAGTACTTTGAGACTGGGAAACCAAATGTGAAAGACAGCCTTAGACCTTGCCCTTGAGATTTCTGATGGGGCTGATGCTGACGGGGACACAGGTACAACCTATGGCTGGTTGGTACTGTTAAAATCAATAGGAAGATGGGCAAGGAAAAGAATACCATATAAGCTGTAAAGAGCCTGGCTTCAGTCTTGATTTTGTATCAAACCTTGCACAGTACTATTGCAGAGCAAAGCTGGAGCAGAACACCCAACCAATACAAGTAAAATCTTGGCAGTTTTTGCATATGAGTGCATTAAAAGAGATTTAATCAAGGAAGCTTGCTTTCTCTTTTGAAGTTTTTTTACTGAACAGGCTAAGAACACTGCACTTACAAAACTCTTGGGAATATGACAGGGTGCTGGCTTCACTTAAGCAAACTGCAGGAGCACATTTCTAAAACACACAAGCCAAGGAAGGGCATGGTAGGCTGCCATTCCCTCAGACATTACAACAAAGTTTATTTATGCAGAATCAAAGGAAACGTCAGTGGAGAGCACAGCAATGAAAATGATGACTGAGCTTGACTTCTGACCTCTCTGTTTTTTCTGTCTCTGACCTTTCTACTTAACCAAACTTCAAACTCAGCCTATGGTATGGCAACAGGCCTTTATCCTGCAATGTTTTGAGTGCACTCAGCATTTTGAGGTGCTGCTGGGATGTGCTAAACAGATTATATGCTCAAATCCAGATTTAGGTAACATCTGTGATAGAAAGATGTCCAAATTGTTAGTCATTAGTTGCTAAAAAGGAGGAGTCGTTATTACTATTATCCTCATTTTATGTCAAACTGATGGTGTCCTGTTTCTCAAAGCTGTTAACTGTCTGTTGTCATATGAGAAACTCTGTGACTTTAAGCAGATACTATGGTGCTGACACAACTTGTCTGTGCTTTCAAAACAGTGTGAATACCTTACTCAGAAGGTAAAATTTTTTGCTTGGCCAACCTATGTTTAACATTAGAGCTCCACAGTATGCATGTATTCAAAGTTGGAACACAAAATAGCAAACACGCTGCTTTAGCTAGTAATGCCAAGTATGAAATCACCATGAATGAATAACTTCTATCATACCTGCAGGAACAGATAATTCACATAATAAGTATTTGCCAATAAGCGGAAAAGATGCCTGCCACAAACATAACATTTTGAGCACACTGAAATCCTACATGCTAGAGAAACACTTAAACGCAGCATTGTATTTGGTGGAAAAATAAAAGTATTAGGTGCACACAAACAATATATGGTAAGTATGCACATGAGCATGAGACAAACAGTGCATCAGATGAACTACTTTGCAACTACAGTTTTACCACATTGTCTCCAAAAGTATTATGTGTGAAAGAAATTAGAAATGGTCATTGGCTATCTTTTTGCATACATCAGGGCAATGACTTTCAGTAAACTCCAAAAAAGCAATGGGGCTACTAATGATTAGCACTTTAAACACATGCAATCACATGTTGCGATCACTTACTATTCTTCAGGCCAACAAGAAGTTAACTCACAACTTCATTTACTTGGTTCCCAGAAGCTTCATTGGGACTACTCATGGCAATGGAAATTCAACAGGGTGAGCAAGAGGTTCAGAGCTCAGTGTTTAGCTTTTGCTTGCTTAAGTTAATGCAATTTAAAAAATGCAAGGAAAGAACATTTTACTAAGCAGTAATAGTTAAAAATCATTCATCCACTTAACTAAACCCTCACAATTTGTTTAAGAAAATGAAATCACTGACTTACAGTTTGTTTTACCCTGAAATAAACAAAGTTCACTTACCATATATTCCATGTTGGAAGCAGGTGGGAAGACTTTGCCTCTGACTTGATTATGATAATCAAGAATGGCAATCATGTCATTTTGTGAAATGTAGCGCTTCCGCCTGGCTTTGGGAATTTTTGCAGAGTCCAGATGAGCTGCCAAAGCTGTCTCAATGTCAGTGAAGTTATTGTCTGACTGGAGTAGGTCAGTGGAGTTGGGTAACACTAATGCACTTGTTTCACAGAGAATGGAAAATAAGAAAGCACAACTGATTGCAGCGATTACTGTCATTTTGGGGCCAAAGGAGAAAGACAGGCCACAGAGGTACTCTGCTTTAAGTCAGGACAGTAGAAAACAGATCTGTAGAAGAGAAGATGTCAAAGATGTGATTCTGTACATCTGGGTAGCAAGACAAAGTGAACTGGCAGGCTGTGATCAGAAAAATGATTCTGCCTGTCAGCCCAACCATAAAAACAATCCAGTCAGAACACACGTTAGTGAGCAATTTTCAATAACCATATAATCACCATAAGTGATATGTTCTTACTGCGAACACACCAAATGAAGTATCATTATACCATGAATTACATGATCAGAACTAGTAGTATTCCTGAAACAGTGACAGTGCTATCACACCAGATCAGTCCATAAACCACACTGTAAATCTTTTAATGGGGAGATTGCAAGAAACCTCACAGAATGTTTTCCACTGAAAATGAAAAATACATTCTAGGCTATGCATCCCACATGCATGGATTGTTTTGACACAATGTGGCACAGAGAAACTAGTAGGCAAAAGAAAACATATAAAGCATGAAAGCAGGACATCTTAGAAATAGCATTCAAGTCTTAACTTCAGCAAAATGTGATGAGCATTGATAAAACTGCATGCAAAGCAAACTTACTGAGTTGAATGGCTTACCTCTGGAAAATAGAAAAAAAAAAAGAATACAGTCTATTGTTCTCCCAGTATATATAGCACTCTCCTATATGATGACAGGAACCTTTGTGAAGGAGTGTCTCTTATTACAAACCCCCAAAGAACAAAACTCTGCTGGTTTTGGAGCTTCTGGCCACAGGAGCTGCTAACAGCTTTTATATGTTACAGTCTGTATGAGCCCGAACAGGCAGTTTCTCTAAAGGTCTCCGCTTAGCCAAAACGAGAGGGGAGGAGTTCTGCAAAGCACACAGGCAGCGATTGGGTGGCATCCCCGGAGTGTAGGTGGCTTGGATATTCAGTCACACCCCCAGTTTCTATAGTACAAAGAGGCAACATGCAAGACTCGCTTTTTTTTTTTTTTTTTTTTTTTTTCCGGTACTTCCTACCTTTTTTTTCTCCGTGGTTGGTTTGGGTTTGGGTTTTGGAGTTTTTTTGGTTTTGTTTTGTTTTTTTTTTTCTCTCTCCTCACTTCACGAGCATCACGCTGGCTTGGCAAACTAACTTTATTTTACGCAGCTCTTCGAGGGGCAGCATGAAGCGCGGAGAGTTCTCAAACCGCTCTTGCCCCACTCACAGGACACGGAACCGATGCAACGCCGTCCCGTCCCGTCCCGTCCCGTCCCGTCCCACGCCGTGCCGTGCCGTGCCGTCCCGGGGGGCTGCGTGGCGGGGGGAGGTTGTCTGTCCCCCGAGGCGCGGCTGGCAGCGGGCGGGCAGGCTCCGCTCCGCTCGGCTCGGCTCGGCTCGGCTCGGCTCATGGCGGAGCACGGCGGGTGCCCGGGCTGCCA